GGGGGGGGGGGGGGGCAAACATCGAGGGGGGGGTGTGCCATTTCTCCGCCTCTTACGGCATACGGCCGGAATGAGTGCACCGGACAAAGCGGAACGTATCAACATTGTGCCAACGTTGCCGCCGTATGCGTACGTACATCGATTGCTCTGGGCAATTGTGCCCTTGAGAGAGCCGCCAGTGGCGACAAACGTGCTATACCTCAACGTTTTTACGTTGCCAACAGCAGTATACAGAGGCCTGGTTTTCTGATTCTGTCCGTCTCTCTCTCTCTCTCTCTCTCTCTCTCTCTCTCTCTCTCTCTCTCTCTGGTCCTCTCTCAACCCCTGCTGCGAACTGCAGCATGGAATGATTGACAACCCCGCCCAAACGACAACCCCAATAGAAGTCAGAGCATGGGTGGTGCCTTGACTTGCACTTCACAACCGTAAAGAGCACGACACGTGCGGTGGAACAGCAGCAGTGCGGCCTGACCGTATCAGCAAGTGCGATGATACTCCGCACAACCACCCTACCACAACCCTAACGGCAGGGACCCTCACCTTTTCGATAGCACTGATGATGTTTCGTCGCGACGTGCTCAGCTTCGCGCTGATTTCCTTCATGGGAAGCATCTCCCGCTCAAGCTTGCCGAGCCTACCCTCGAAGTCCTCGCATATCCCCTTCATCTGTCGGGTCGACGACTCGAAGCTTGTCAGCCCAGCGCCGAGAATCTCCACTCCCTTCGCCAGAGCAGCAGCATTTACGATCTCTTTCTCGGCGCCCATCCTGCGGGATTGTTGCTAAGCTGATCGTTCCTCACGCGGCCGTCTGTGCAGCAACACTTAGCTGCGCCGCTACTACTTTGTAAACAGTAGTGCAGCTCATCAAACGCGCACGCGGAATATCTCAGGGGGTGACGCAGTTTGCAGAACCACCGCACCTCGCTCGGTGTGTTATCGCTGATTGGTTCACATATCATGTTGATTCAGGGTGTAGGGCGTGTACGCTCTCACGCTTTATCGCCACGCTCACTGGCTCTTGTCGTGAGCGTCTTGCACAAAAGATGATTCCACATCCTTCTTTTTGACCCTGCTTGAGCACCCGCTGTATATGTTTCGTCTTGAGTGAAGACTGGTCGAATTTCGTCTTCATTTGAAAGAGGGACGTGTGGAGGTTGGCTCCGCGAAATACTGCTGTGGTTTGTTACTCTGTATCTTGTACGTGAATATACATCGACTACATTACAAAACGGAATGTGTCGGGGAACAGTCTCCTTGTCGTATAATGTGTCCCGTATGTGATTGTTGCCCCATCGGTTGTTCTCAAAATCTGTCAATTCCAAAGATCGACAGCGATGAGGTATACAACGTTTGACTACCGGTCATATAGTCCACGCACATATTTTTGCACAACACTCCGACACTCACACCACGGAGATAACGCGTTGGGTGTTTGTTCGCTCAGTAGAATTCTGTTGTTCGCTCATATGTTCCTTGAACCTCCTACATCGAAGCGTCCTTAGTCTCTGTCCAGGACTCGTGCAGATATATTAATGTGCGTGTGAGCCCGCCTGGTGCATTCCAACACTACAACAGGCATGGAAATTGACGACCACAACGAACGGCATACACCCAAGTGCCAGGGTTGTTCAGCAAGTTACCCAAATTCTATTCATCGACAAAATGTGTCGACTTTCGAGTGCAACTCCAGGCGAAAATCCAAGAGTGCATCAAACTCATTAGACTCCCACGGTCGATTCGGAGGCGAGCGCACAAAGCACTGACGTCAAGCCTGCAGCACATGCACACGGTGCGCTTGAGCATCCACATCTAGTGGTTAGTAGTTGAGTCCTCCCCTAGAAAACTCCACCGCTACGATTGCGGTGGGGTGTGCGCCAGTAGGAACGCTACAGTCATCGCAAACGATCGAGGCAATTGGGACACCTCTCCCCCCC